ATATACAGAGTGTCTCACGGAGATATACCCATTGTGATATCTCATATTGAAGATAATAAAATTCTGTTTTTTTTTCTTTTTTAATTACTCACTGGGATAAGGACTACAAATATTTATATTGCAATTAATTGTTCATGTTTTAGTAAACAGTTAAGAAAAATTGTATTTGATTGTTTTTTGAAAATTCTGAGAAAGATTTAAAATAATTAGTTTTATAGCTTGATTGTTTTCCATATAAATTAAGAATTATTATTCATTTAAAAGTATCTAATAAAACGATGGTAAGTTAAGTAAGTTTAGATAAAGCAAGCTCGTTATCAATTATAATGGCTTTGGTGCTTTCATTTTTTTATTATGAACAACTTCGAGTCCCTAAACCAAACATATTTCACGAGCCAAAACTCATTCAGGAATCAAGTTTTTTATCGAGGAACTTGGGAATTTACGGATTATATAATTTGTTTTAATTAATATAAACGGGGATAATTGATTTTAGTTATTATTTTTTTTTTTTTTTGAAATTGGAACGTATAAAATCATAATTCCTTTATTTTTAAATTTTAGAATACTCTGAACGGAGCGAGTATGTAAGGTAATGTATTGGTTTTACAATGATGTTTATGGTTATAATTTTTTTTTATGCAACCACGTTTTTTACCAGAAAGTTTACTCCGATTATCAAATATAGCACTTTTTCTGAAATTAAATGGTCTATGGGTAGTTATTTAGAGGGGTAAATTTTTGAAATTCTTATTAATATTCAAGATAATGAGAAAAACTTGGTTTTTTAGGTTAAAAAAGTTTGTCATAGGCAATCGTTTTTGTTTATTTTTTGTTATCAATGTATTATTTTAATATTTTTTAAACAATCACTGTTGTCACGGTAACTCACATTGTTGAAATTGTACCTAAGTAAATAAGTACTATCAACTGAACTTCGCTCAGAATCGTTTTTCGTTAGCAATGGTTTATCGTTGCTTACAGATATACATTAAATTTCCGTCTGTATCCTACCTTACTAACAGTAGCGGCACCCACGTACAAAGTATGTTCGTTTTTTTTATTGTTTTCTTAATTTGAATCCCACCTGCAACCGCAAAGTCCGTAAGGCAGCATGTCCCTTGAGAGAATATTCGCGAACCTTCTACTAAATAATAACATTAATTTGACGTAATATTTAATTTATATTTGAATAATTTGTTATTTAAAACGAATAAAATGTATAAGAACGAGACAAAGAACGGATTCCGTTTTTTTCTTTTATAGGAACGGGGAATTGAACGAATTCCTTCCAACAAACTGGAACGGGTTTGTGAAACGAGTTCTTTTTAATTTTACAGGAACGAAGAACGAAACGGATTCTTTTTTTAAAAGAAACGTTAACAATACTGCAGCACGTTTTATATGAAATACATTTTCTTTCACTTCAACACGGAGAAGAATTTATTCGAATAGACAATATAATATGCGTATAATGCATTTCGTTACGCGAGCTCGGATAGAAATCCGAAACTTGGAATGTTTTCATTAAGTATTTCTCTCTTCGTTTTGTATTAAAAAAGGGTCTGAGTTTGTTATTTTCGTTGTTTATAGTAAACATAATAATTTATCATTAATAATATTGTTTAAACATTATAATGGTTAGATTATATTATCATTACTTGACAATTTACTTGAGATACTATTGTACACAGTTAGTATTCGTAGCTTTTTACGCGAGTGATAGTACAGGCAAGCCCGGATCAACACTATCGCAAGCCCTAGATACTAATAAGCAAGAAAGGTCAACATTAAATCGTTAGATTTGTCACTAATAAGAAAGAAAACCGTCGTCAATGTCGTCAACATATTTTTCGCAAGCCCTAGGCCGCCCAGGGCTAACTTTTATAACTTTTTTTACGATAACAATTGTAACAAATCTTAAAAACAATTCATTTTACTCCAAAATATGTAGAATTGTAAAGTATATCGCAGGTAATACAATTCATTGTACGCGTCGAATGTTGCCGCCCTCTCATATTAATTAGTTCCATAAAACAATTGATATTTGAAAAAAAAAAAAAAACCATTTAAATTTAGCGATTTAAAATACCAGGGGATCCGAAACGTCATGCGGATAAACAACATCGTAATTATTGTGACTCCCGGGGGCGTAACGTCCGCGACCACTGGTCAACAGCCGTCCGGTCCGGTACCGCGGTATAAGGTAAATAGGCGGGGAGGGGGAGACTGGTAAACTCCTACAAAAGCCGGTAATCTCCCGCGCACTGGCGAATTGTGTCAACTCCTACGGGAGTCGGACTGGTTTTTTTTTTTTTTTGTCAAAATGAGCGAAATTAGTAAACGCCTAGTCGGGAAAATAATACATCTCAGTTCGGTTGTGTCCGCCGGTGATTACCGGCGTGCGGATGGACGCGTGCCGCGCGGCGGAAAAAAGGGGGGGGGGGGGGAAAGGGGCGCCGCGTAGTATTGCTCGCGGTCGTCGCGTGCGAATGGAGGGGGGGGAGAAGACGGCCGGGACCAATCGTTCCGCCACCGCCCGCCGTACATCGCGTGACGCGACGTTATTTCCCGGGCGCCCGAACAATAATATTAATAATAATATTATCGTGGCGCACACGTCGCGGGGCCGAGAAACGCGCGACGGGTCGGAAACCGTAATTTATTCGCGACGGGCCCCCGGCCGGCGCGTGATATTTACGGACGGCCGTCGCCCGACGCATCCCGGAACACCGCGGTCCGTCGGTACAGGCGCCTCTCTGCGGTACGCGCACAACAACAATATCCGATAACGGCAACACCCGACGAAAACGACATTAATATATTTCGCGGCGCACGCGGATTACGACGTTATCACGAGACGGCGTCGCGGACACGATACACGCGCGAACGCGGTGTACCCTTGCGCCGCCGATCGTACCCACTCGGCCCCCCCGCGGCGACACGTCGTGCGGGCGCACGTCCGTCGACGATTCGACCACCGCGTGACGGTTTTACACGACGGCGTCTGTTGCTGTTGTTTTTTTTTTTTCTCTATTTGTTTTCAATCGAATGTGGAAAATCGCCCCGCACGAATCACCCGGAAAATGCAAATCCGTTCGTTTCGAGTCCCGCAAATGCGTCCGGCTCATTATTGCCGGTGATGCGCGGCCACTTTTATCGCGTTCGTAAAGGTAACCGCACTCGCGCGAATCTCCGTTGACCTATCACACAGCGACCGCGCGCGTCACTTGTCGCACAAGTCGCCTGAATCTGTCTCGCCTTAGAGTCGGTCGCGGCCCCCCCCCCTCCCCTCGACCGCTGGCGGTCGGCGAGTAAATATTATCCGCGGTGTTATTGTGAAGCGGTAAAGTCTGTGTGTTTGCGCGGCGGTTATTTCCGGAATGTGCCGAACCGATTTCGAAAATTATTTTCGGCCAACGGAAGGCCGCGTTATTCGCGAGCGCGACGGGCCGCGCGTTAACGTCGTACAGCGAAAAGACATTTTCGCGGCAGTCGGACACGCGCAGCAGGTCGGAGGAAAAACGGTCGAACGAAACCGACGACCGTTTCTTAGCGGACGCCGCCACGACCATACACGCGGGCGGAGGTGGAGCGTATCGGCGCGGTCGCAGAACACCACGGCACCGTGTTGCGGGATTCTTTTCAATGCTTCTGGTTTTCACGGCCGTTCATCGCCGGGACGTGACCGCGCCGCTGGAAACCGAAAATAACGGGCGCCCCCCAGTCGTCTTCGAACGGTCAAAGTTAAACACCGTCCACCCGGCCCCGACGTAATGACATGTTTCGCGCACGTTCGATAAGTCGCCGGGCGCACGGCGGCACACCGCTTTCGATGGCTTTCCGAGTTTTCGTCATTCGCGCCCGCGGTACCTCTATTTACTTAAAATATGGAATATGCTCAGCGCTTCGGTAAGTACCCATACATTTTATTTTACGAATAATGTCCCGTAATATTTTAGCTGCGTGGGTGCACTAATATTGTTACGATGCAATAGCCATTTTTTTTTATAAATCAGCAAATGCCATTCGAACGAACAATGTGCACAACATAAAAAGAAAATAAAGCTGTGGTAATGAGACATTTACTACAGGCCTTCTGTCTGGATAGATTTTTAGGTTTCAGAATCTGAGTAATGGTGGCTATTTATATTATCAATGCACACAGTATACAGTAACACGGTATAAGTATTGGTTTTGTATTTTCGTTTTGTCAGTAAACTATAATATTGTGGGTAAAATGAATTGAGCACCATTGTTGCGATATAATATCCACAGGTATACGTAGCGCATAATGTGTAAGATAATTTAAACCGTTGGAGAGGATCAGAATACTCGTAAAAGGCGACAAATGTTGTTGTGTCAGGTCGACATCCGGTGTAAAATTCTGTCAAACCGTACGAGTTCTAAACAAGACTATGACAGGTTGTCCCATCACAGACGTGTACAATGGAAATGTCTTCAGATTTCATTGCGAAAGCCCCTTCAAATTTTTAAATACTTATTCGCTAATATAATATAATATGACAAACGTATACAATTAATATAATTTGAAAAGGGTTGCTTAGGTAGGCAATTCATTTTTAATCCTGAAATGATATGAACTTTAGATTAGTATTCATTAAACATTTAACTTCAATCGGTTACCTACGTACCTACCTACACAACAATATTCGGTTATTGTTAAATAAAACAAATAGGTGTTACTAATTTTTATGAACGATATATAATATTCTTTATCTCTTGTTGGAGGGAGTTTGTATTATAAATGAACTGTAAACAGTATAACACCTGTGAAAAAAATTGTTTGCCAACATTATGCATTAATATTGCACAAAAAAAAGTTATTTTTAAACTGTTATGTAGATATATCAATAGCACTTAAAAACAAATACACAACTGATTGTACATTTTATCACATAATTAAACTGAAAAATTGATTTTAAATTGATTAGTATAAAAGTAATTTTGTTATTGAATGATAAAACAATTTAACATTGTGTTAAAGTCAATTAATTTTAATATCATTAATTATATTATAGTGATACATAGGTTTCAAGTTATCAAATATTTGCATAGGTAATTTATCACCAATCAGTTTTTAAACAGTTAGGGATAGTAATAACTAGTGAGATTAAGGACATATATATTATAATAAATTATTATTAATAAATATTAATACTTAAACAAAATGAAATTAAAAATAATTTTGTTCAATGGTTACAGTAAAGTTTTAGGGTTTATAAAATGATAAAACCACAGCTGATTCAGAGGCGATATTTATTTTGTTGCTGTTGACTTTTGACCTGAAACATAAAATTGTGTAGTGTGAAAACAGGTGGTTATTGAATTCAATATTTCAAACATTATAATATATTAATGGAAATTATGACAAGATCACAACAAATTATGTTTTCATTTAGTAAAATTAAATTTACTGTAGAGGTGATATTGTAAAAAAAAAAAAAAAAAAACAAATGTTCATGAATAAATTACATACAGTACATATATATATATATATAATTAGTCCATGAATATATATCGATTATGACATCACAATGAGAATAATTTTCCCGGACATTCTATACATTCAATTTATGTTATATTTAATTACTACTACTACCTGAATTTTTCATGTACAGTATTGAACAAAAAAAAAAAACATGTCTTCCTGTAGAATATGAAAAATATACTAAAAATATTAATACATAATTCTAAGAGATATTGCACTTTATTTTTTTTATTGATTTAAAAATATACATTTAAAATAATTATTTCATAAGATTGATAAAAAATAATTGAAATTGCAAATTAATTACCAACATATTGATAACACTTGTAACTAGTGATTTAAGTTTATAATTGTTAATTGTATAAATAGTCAAACATTTGTATTAAAATAATTTTCAAAACTTACTTAAGAGCTGGAAGTAGTAAACAAGCAGACCGAGTACAGAGCGATAAATTTACTTCGTCAGGAATTTCATCCAATAAATTTAAATTAAGAATGGTATCATTTTTACTTAAATTCCAAGCAAATACAATGCTTTCTGAACCACTCATTACTCTAAAAAAAGAAAAATAATAATTGTTAATGTAACACACATATTAATAAAAAAATATATTATATAATACTATTTTTTGATGTTACCTATCAAAAACAAATACTGTATCATTTAGAAGTTTAGTGTTGAAGGAACCGAATTCAATTGTGGGCATTGCTCGCAATTCTTTTAAAGTTCTTTCAAACAATGTAACATTTGGTATGTGGTTGTTTTCAAAGAGTTTTTGGTCAGCATTTATAAATGGTGTACCAGGTAATAATGCACTAATAATATTAAATGCATCAATCGTTTCGTTCTTCCAACAGTTTGGTTTATCATTTTTTTCACATACCCACTACATTATATAAATATAAAAAAAAACTTAGAATGTACACTTATTTTTATACAGACTTTGTTATATTTTATACTAACTTCCCAAGAAGGCCATTTAAATGTAGTTGTTTTTAATAGAATTGCATTAAGTAATTGTTCTCCAGTAAAATCAGGTGCCAAAGTGATAGAGCTATGAACCATATTTACTCCCGACACATCGTTTGTTTCAAGATCACTCACAATCAATATTCTAAAAATGATATTATAATATAAAAAAAATATGCATTTATTAATATTTAAACAGTGTATTACTTAATTTTTAAACGGAAAATATTATGACTTTAGTCATGGTTACTACTAATGGTCATACTAATTGGTCAAGTTATTATAATCATTACACATTGACTAGATAAAAATTATATTATAATAACACATATATATATATATATATATATATATATATATATATGTGTGTGTGTGTGTGTATTATATAAAAAAAAGATTATTGAAAATTAGGTTAATTTCACTATTGAAATAAAATAATTACTTAAGTTTTCAAATAATTAAATATCTAGATATTTAATAAGCCAATATCAAATACAAATGTAGTACATAATACAAGGAATTATACTTTATTTTCAATAATATTATATTTTAAAAATAGAAACTTACATTTTTTGATTTTTATGACAATTTTATTAAAGCTGATCTGTCAAAATTAGATTAAATATAAAATATGATTATTGATATGATATATGGCTTCTTAGTATTTAGATAAGTTAAATATTTTAATAATGATTAGATTTTCTTTTATCTTAAATCATAATGCTCATTATTATAAATTGATAATAATTATGTTTAAATGAATATGAATTGTTTTAGTAAAATAATGTAATATGTAAATGTATGTATTGAATAGTTTATTAGTATTAAATAATTAACAAAGTTACCAAAGTTGTTATTTAATTTTAATATAAAAATATAATTTACTCACCCAGAATTGTTTTCTATTAATTTTCCCCATTTTGATATTAGATCTGTGGTTTCTGAAAGATTAAAAGTAGGTCTTTTACTACTATCGGTGGAATTCTTAAATTCTTTATCTTTAAACAAATATTGAACTTTATCCAAATAAAATCCATCAACTCCAGTTGTTAACCATAGCTTAAACACGTTCTAAAAAAAATAAACCAAACATAATTAAAATATGTTAGAAAAAAAAAAATTAAACAAAATAATTACCTCAAAATAGTTTATAATATCATTATTACGGAAATTAAAGTCCGCTTCGTTTTCAGAGAATTGATGAAGATAGAATTCGTTTCGCTCTTTATTCCATGTCCAAGCCGATTTTCCAGTAACACTCAACTTTCATAATACAAAATGATTTTATTAAATCACTAAACTAAAATAATGACATGGTTATTAATACCCAATTGTTAATAGGATAATGATGAACTCCAACACTAAATCCAGGATTCCAAATGTAATAATTTCTATACATAGTTTCATTCAAAACTGATCGTTCAAAGAATAGGTTTGATGTTGAAGAGTGATTAGGAATTAATTTCAACATTACTTTCATACCTAAAAAAAAATGTATAAATATGTGTACAGTATAATATAATGAACTAATTTTTTTTGTTTACAAAAATAAAGTTATACATTTTTATTTACCTTTTGATTTTAATTTCACTATAAGATCTTTCAGGAAGTTTTCATTCCCTAATGAAGCATTTACTTTCATAAAATCAACTACTTCACCTTTATCATTATTGAACACTGATGACAGTACAACATTTTCTATACCCAACGTTTGCATGTATTGAACTTTTTCATCAAGACCTTAACATAATAATAAATATTTAAATTAAATGTATTGAATACAAAAAATAAAAATAAAAATAAAAATAAAATTGAATAGTACAATAATAATACACACAATTGAATCATTTTAATTTGCAATAATTCCAAACAAAAATTTGACTACCTATTGTTTTTTTATATAGAATAACCACACATTCCTAAGGTTTTAAGTAAAACAATGAATACATTATGTTTACATACATTTAACAAATAAATCTCAAACAAATATTTGAACTTACACTTTTTAAAATTCAATGAATTATAAATTATAACAAAAAAAGAGTTAATAAAGTCCACTCTAGGAGAAAACAAAGTTAAAATTTATGAACATATTTTAAACAATAAATTATAATTCCATATAAAATGTTGAAAGAATTTGGTAACCTAATATATTATGTGTATAATAAACCTAAATAAATTAGGTACTCATGTATTGGTTTTAAAGGTTATAATGTGAGATTTTTTTGAATTTTTAATTAACAAAAAATCTTTTTTACTATACTCTATTTCAATAAAAACTCTCAAGGAACTTTCTTATAGTATTTATGAACTAAATGATTCATTACTATGGTCATTTTTTGATTTCCTAAAAGATTTTTAATAAATAGGGAAAAACTTAAAGTTTTTTGATTTCTGAGAGTAATTATCTTGTTTACAAGAGGAAAAAATACAGCTAATAATAAAATTCTGCTCAGAGTTCTTCATTCTCAATGATTTATTGTTGTATACAGGTATAAATTAAATTACTCTAAAAAATTATCTTTTCCAATTTATCTCTTGAAACAGTGATACACCCATCAGCAATAAGAGCTTTATTATATTTAAATTAATAATAATGATAATAATATTGACCATTAAGAATAGTATTTATCTCCTTATCAACTAAAATCAATAATCATAACTATGTAACAAGTAACTATATGAACAGACAGACGTAACAATAAATTCCAAAGGGATTTATTTAGGAATTTTAAATTTATGTTTAGAAATTTAAAAAAAAACAAACTAACAGAAATGCCACAAAATATAAATAATAAGTAGTATGTAAAAGTTAGTTTTGCACATTTTAATTTGTTTTATTTGATGGAAATTTAAAAAGGAAGAAGTCCAATGTATTTGTTACGATATTATCAGTTGGATTATGAGGCGATTTTCAATTTTATATTTTTATTGTCAGATTAAGACAGTAACATAAATATATATTCTATTAATCAATTTTTGTATTACTAAGTCAATAAGATAAATAGTATAATAAACATAAATATTAAATGTATACATATGTTATTATCACTTATGAGTCATCCTAATTATTACATGGTTAATAATTACTTTTGATTTTATACGGGGAAAGTAAAAATATCAAAAGGTACCTTATTAACAATTAAGATATTAAATGTTATTTTAGGACATAAGATAAAATTAGTTTAAAAGTCTCAGATGTAACAATGATTTTAGATTTTTGGTTTAGAAACAGATAGGGATTAGGAGTATGACAATCTGTCGACTTTAAGGACGTTCAATTCTTCATATATAGTTTAAATAAGTTATCTACTTCTTCTAGACATGGTATACATATTAAAATATTCTGAATTCTTTTAAAATTATTATTAAGCAAAGCAATTTGAAATTTTTGAGTATTTTTGGTTTTATTTAAATCCACATTTTTTCAGATTAGTATAGATCTTCGAAAATCTGATACAATGTTGCCAATAAGTAGTTCATATGGTGATAGAAAAATATTTGTAAAATTTGTAGACATGATTATATTTTTAGCAAGGTTTTGACAAAAATCATTTATAAGTATGTTGTTACCAGTTTTCAATTTAGGAATGTTGAGAAAGTGAATTACTTTTTAGTCCTCTAACAAATTTGATGAACTTATGAGGTTCATCACAAAGTGCTCTTACTAGCTGAATATAATGTAATGTTTTTTTTTTATAAGTATTGTAAGTTCAAGTTTAGTTTAGATGAAACTTGTAAAAATTCATGATAGCATAATGTTTTAAATTTAAATTGATCAAAAAAATGTTTACCAGTTCAAGTTGTTTTTATTTGTATGTAGTATATAAAACTAAATTATCCTATTGTCACAACCACACCCACCTGCAACAACTTACTTTTTAACATTATCTTGTAAGAGGAGCATAGTCACTCAGATTTATTTTATATGTACTATACATATATAAATCGTATATAACATAATATACCTATCATATTGTACAAAAGTCAGAAATATTTAATACGCAGAGTCATAGATTAAATACTGAACATAAGATTTTTTTTTTTTTAAGTCATTGCATCAGCAAATTATTAATACCAATATAATTATTATTTTCTAGATAACTATTACTTAAGTATATACCTAATCAATTTCAATATAAAATAATAGTTTCTAGTGTTCTATAGAAGAACATATTTCCAAGTGATAAAGTTTGAAAATGCAATACATTGACAATGTTTATTTATTGGAATATTGTAACTTTCATTGAAACTAAAATGTAATTATCTGAGAAAATGCACTTATTACCCCTGATAAGAAACATTATTATTACATTTAAAAAAAAACCAGATTTTTATCAGCCGCCCATTAGGAATTTTATCAGGGATTGCAGTGTTGCATTACCGAAGCCAAGTATATTCTTTGTTTATAAAATATTAATATTTTACATAAAACATTATTTACTATGTTAATAACATTACTGAAATTAAACCGTATTTGATAAAACTAAAATTCAATGTGGACATAAATTTGTTAAGGTTGTTAGAAATCCTGTAACTGTAAGTTCTAAAACAACTATATTGAATACTATTTTAGGTTATCAAGTTACTTTATAACTGGCTCAAAGAAATTTATAACACTGGAGTTTTTAACTAGTACATTATAAATGGATCACTAATGTACATTTCTAAACATTTTCGAAATTATATTGCATAATTTTAACAGTGGGTAGGTAGGTTGTAGAGTAGCTAGTTACTAGTTTGCTACAATCTCAACAGATAATCAAAGAGACGTATCACAACTATAATTTATATTCTTGAACACATAATATTATAGAATCTGGGTAAACAATAATTTCCAATTGTTGAAAGGTATGATAGATACCTAAGCACTTTCAAGTTAGGTAATTACTAATAAAAAATACAATTTTGTGACTGCATTAGTTACACACAGAGGGTCAAACTGAGAATTGAAGAAACATTATTTATTATCTTTTTTAGCTCAAATAGTAAGTTTTTTAAAAAAAAAAATTTCCAAAGTACCTACCTAAGTACTAATGATAACATTAGAAATATATTAATGAGATACCTCGTAAGATACTTAAATAAAAATAAAATATTTAAATTACCGTTTTGGCTGGATAATGAAGCAGCGTTAACAACGTATACTGGACTCTTTTGGTACCATTCGAGCTTGGTTGATGGAAAGCATTTTGGTGTCATGAATATAATAAAAAGAGCACCAAACAACATGGCAAACCAAGTTAACCAGAATATTACAAACAACAGCCACCTGAGTCTTACCCAAAATGGGCTGTTTGCATATTTCATAAGTTCCTCTTTACCCATACCGGCATATGCAGTTTCTTTATGGTCGGATACGTCCAAATTGTTAACTTCGTCATATTTGTCACCACTGGTTTCAATTTGCTTATTTCCTTGCTCCATAAGTTTTTCAACTGCACCATCCTCTTTTTCCGTCGACATTGCTATCTAGGTGTTCGTGTACTGAATACGAATAAAAATAATAATTAAATAGGTATAAAATAGGTTTTTATTTTTACTTTACCTTACGAACAATAAACGTGTACAGACCCTTTTTGAGATGACCAGCACTCGTGGGGTTGAAAAAAAATATACCACACTGTAGGGCGTAAGAAACGAAAGCGTAAGATCAAACACGAACGCGGACGAACGGCTGCGGCTGCGGCCGAGTAGTATGTACCGACGTGAATATTGAATAGTATTTTTATTGATCGCTTCTCAAGTAAAGTGCTGCTGCAGGCTGCTGCTGCGATGTTAATATCACAAAGAGCACTGAAAACGGGATGATAAGGTGGCGATAACTCGACTGTCTGGCTGGTAGCGAATACAAATCTATTGATAACGACCAACGACGGCCGTTGTCGAAAACCTGATATCACCGCGGGTAAACATTACATTTTATTTTCGGCGGACATAGTCAAAAATTCCCGCGACACGGTTGTGATTTCGCATTTCGACATCGGTCAGTGGTCACCGCTATTATCACCTCTCCCTCCCTCGCGCGCTATTACCTACACATGCGCGTGTTACTTCGGAATGGCGAATCGGTATTGTGACGATTAGATGAATCTTTCCTAAAAATAAATAATTTTCTCTTTGCATGTTGAAGTTCCACATGGACATAATGATGGTAATATCGTTGGCACGGAAATTGGAATTAATCCAGAAAATATATTATTATCTACATTAGGTAGGTAGGTATTTAATATCGTCTACCATCATTATACAATTTAGGTACATCTCTACAGATTGTACCCAGGCACCTATTGGATTAAACTTAGTTACGTAGTTACTTAATTAAATCAATTGTATCAATGAATCATCTTTTTAAACCGCATTAAAACAAATTATTTTATGATTTTTATTTAAAAAAAAAAAAAAAAAACAAAACAAAACAAAAACATAGACTTCAAATATTTTTTAAAATAATTCGATTCTAATTTACTTCGTAAATCATTATTGAGGACAAAAATGTCAATAGAAAATGCTAATTTATTTCATCGGAAATTAACGAATTAGGAATATATTAATATTTAATTTTTTATATATTAGTATATTTTGGGTTAACCTTTACTATTTTAATTAACTAACCAAAAAAAAAAAAAAAATGCACGCTTGAAAAATTATAACAGTTTGATTTATTAAGGGCTCCATGTCTGCATCTCTTAGTTGAATGGATGTCAAATTTTCGATGTGTTTATGGATTCTTGTTGTGGGAATAAATGGGCGTCCTAATACTACATACTCACTGGTTTAAAGTTTTTAGGTTTTAATCTCTTTTGTATAGCGCTAAAAAAGGATATTAGATGTTTTGGCAGTTTTTTGGATACTCGTTGTTTTATTTTTATTAGGCACTTCATGTTTTTGCTTCCATTCCCTAGCTGAACATACTCGTATAAAACAAAATGCTGTCTTAGGATGATTTGGACGGGTGCAGTCACTGTTGTAGGTGGGAAGTTAGGAAGGAACAATACAGAACCCAGGAGGGAATTTAATGTATATCTGTAAGCAACGATAAATCATCGCACACGAAAAAACCGGTGCACACGAGTTGCCTCCCAAAATAGACGAATTGCGCCTCCTATCCTTATCGTAAATAAAAATGTTAACATACACTATTTGCCTCCGACGATTAGGTAGTTCATAATTATATACGAATTGCCTCCCAAAAATGTTCGGGCTAGTTGCCTCCCATATTGAATAAATCAGTGGTTCATAAACTTATGTGAATTTAATATAATGTTTATAATTTTATTAAAAATAATAATATAATTGGTCAATAAAAACACATTTACATGAACAGTACTTGTTTAGATAATGTCTATTATGGCTCAACTTATTTTCGTTCAATATTACCTAATCACTTTCGTTCACTTTTCAACAGCTATGCATATTTTTGTCGTACAATTCTCCCGTTTTTTGTTGCCGGCTAACTTTTTTTTAAAACTAAATTTAAAATTATTTATTATTTTAACACGTTTGCTCTTTTTGTTGATCAATTCCCGCATTTAAATTTGATCTGTTCTAAAAATGTATTAGAAAATTCAAAATCGCTCAATAACTTTTTGTAAAAATAAAATCCTATAACGAGTGTTGAAGCTCAGCTAATGATAGTAATTATTATTTAAGAGATAAAATGTTTAATATTAGTCGTACAGTTTTATCAATGTACAAAAGTCATAGAATACGACTTTGAATGTATAATCCAATGATAGTTTATTAATTAGTACAAACAACATAATATTACTTCATGATTTAAACAAATCTATGTATGTATGCATACTGTTTGAAAATATTTGAATAGTTTGTGAACCACTTATACATTCATTTCTTGCCTATTGGGAGGCAATTAGTAGTAGACCCTTTTCGTTTACGATAAATTTTAGGGTACGCCGCGAGGCAATTCGTATTAAAATTATCGACCTTTATGACCTCAGGAGGTGACTAGTGTGCGCCCGAATAAATGATTCTGAACTGAGCTCAGTTGATAGTAATGCTTTGTCAACAATATATATGTTATATTATGGTAAAATAATTAAATAGGCATTATATATTTTCTTTATTTTATTTTTTTTTAATATTGATCCGATTTTCCTGTTTTTTACGATTTTTTCAGTTTTCCCAAGTTTTTTTTCGGTTTTTCACATTTCCTGAGAAAACCCTTGGGAAAATCTAAAAATCACCTCCTTAAAGTACCCCCTTCGTCAGATTTACTTTTAGAAAAAATGCTATCATTGTAAATCTGAGAAAAATTGCTGGTAGAAAAGTTATTCACAAAAAAAAAAAAGGCCGTAGTATTTTTTTTTAACTAATACCTACATTTCGTACATTTTCCCGTTTTTTCCCATTTGTTGAGAAAATCCCAAGAAAAATCAAAAAATGACTTCCTTAAAAGAACTTCCTACACCGATTTCCTTTCAAAAAAGGTGCTACATCAAAAAATCGGAGCAAGATCAATATAAAAGTTATTCATAGATAAAAAATAATAAACATCTTTGAAAAACCATTAGCTTCTTCGCTCCACTAAGAATCTAAAATGTAGGGATTATAATTCTGTACTCAAAACATTCAATAGCATAATGGTTGAACAATTAAAAATCGTTTCCTATTATAGAGACACTGGGAGATGGACAATCGATCAACAATTAAAATACCGACAGGGATAATTGACCGACAAGACAATCGACTGACAGGGACAATCGACCGTCAACTAAAATATTGACAAGTATAATCGACCGACAGGACAATTGACCGACAACTAAAATACCGATAGGAAAATTGATCCTATATTTTCCTATGTATTGATACAATAATTTATAATGCCATGCAATTTATATTTTAATTTAAATGTATAATAATAGTAATAATAGTAATGTATAATGATGTAAGTAATTTATAATGAGAGTTTTTATTTTCTCTCCTTTTGAACTTCTTCAAGAATTTTATCAGAACCTAATAATGTTAATTTCTGTTTTTTATTAGCCATTAACATAGATGCTTCTAACTTAGTAGGTATCTGACAGTTGACTGCGAAGCTTTACATATTTCAAAAATGAAAAAGATCTTTTACATGATCCTTGTGTAGTAGGTAGTGTAAATACACATTTAGATGCCAAAAATAAATTAGAATATGCAATACAAATACAAATTGAATTTTGTTAAGTATTTTAAAAACAAGCAACAAAGTTTTTGCAACTCTCGAAATTTACATTTTAAGGTTCAATACTAATTTTAGATTCAATGTTATCTTCTTCCCTTAGTTCCAAACTGTATGAAGTAACTCTTACATGGGCCTTCTGCAGATCCAAATATTTTAATAAGTTCCACTTCTTTACTCAACTACATTGTTAATAAAATAATTAAATAGATATTATATATTTTCTTAAATAATATAAAAATGATCTACTTAAAGTACCTCCCCAGTTATATCTTCATATAATATTATTACGGAGGTTGGTTATATATTATCAATTTACATTTATTCTTATCAGTAAAAAAAAAAGTAATAAAAATCATACAACCAATAATAAATAATTGCTGCAGCCGATTTTTTAAATTATAACAGAAAATATTACAATCTGTATCCATCAGCCAATTTTAATTCGTTAGCAAGCAGCTCATCGGAAATTTCCCTATTGCCCGATGGCCCAATCCGTCCCTGGGCTCAAGTTCTATAGTATTTTTAGGCTCTATTTACGTCTATGGTTGGTTCACCAGTCTCTCATACACTTTAGCTACTACATGTATACATATAACGATAGATCACTGGTTTGATGATGCTAATAGGGGTAGCTAATTAGATTTGATCGAAATGACGCAGAAGAGGGTAAAGTATTGCCTTTCGCAGAAACTCTGTAATAAGTATATTTTTTATACTACAAAAACGAAACCAGATTGTATCCATACTTCCGTAGTGACTGTTTTCTGCGTGTCTGCGTGATAGTCGATAGATTTTATAGCTATGGTTTTTTCTGTTATTTTTTTTTGTTTTTGACAATAGAAAATTTGTTTTTTTTTCTGGGATGCGTGGTCTCTAGCCTAGATCATCCTCTCTTGGAGTCGCCTCTGGGTGGGTACTTAACTGCCAAAAATTACTATAAGGTTATGGGAAATTTGCATCTTAAATGATATTATAAATCTTGAAACAAAACTGGTAAAGGAATTAGGAAATAGTTGGTCGGTAGATATGAAAAATAAAACCATCAATTATCAAAGTATTAAAATAAATGTAGACAGTGATAATGCAAAAAGAAAAAAACACTTTTATTATACCTACGTGAGCAATATAATGCAACAAACATGTTTGCCATACACGTCATAGTATTAATATTGTATAATATTATTTCAATTATCTACTTATTATTTGTTTCATTGAATGTTTTTTTATTATACATTCATTCCCTTCCAATTCCTTAACCTAACCTAATATTTCCTTCTACTAGGTAGTAATTTGACCACAATAATATTATTATTAATCCGTTTATGTCGAAGTACAATAATAATATATAAATAAGCATTAATATTGATAGAATTAGCCATTAAGTATTAGATATACTTAATAAGGCTGGCCTAAATGCCTATATGTTATTGAAAATATTATTGTAATTATTATGGCTGCATACGAATTTCGTCCCGTGGCAACAATTCCTTCCGATTAATTGCGTCCCGGGTATTTTTTCTGGCGGTACTAGTTATAGTATTATCGTATTACCTATAGTATAATATACATTTTATTTTACTGTCGATCAACTATATTAAGGTAATATTTTAAATTATGATACAGTGAAGTAAATCAATGTATAGTAGAAAGTAGCAATATTATTATTACAAACATAGTCTCTATAGTCTATATTAATACGACACCCGACCAACTTAATATGAAAAGGAAGGCTATTATAGAACTATTAAGATCTAAAAGCTTAAGCGATAGAATGTGGAAGTATCCAATTTAGTAATAAAAT